GCTTCCAAACAAGAATGCTGCCCCTTTAAACACACACACACAGACACACACACACACACGCATGCACACACATACACGCATGCACACATATACAGAGCAGCAGAAAAGCAGCAGAATTCAGATTCAGGGATGCTGGCAGGTGTTCTGTGCAGCCTCGGGTCCCAGGGCTCAGCATTGTTACTCTGGGGCCCCTCTCTTCTGGAAGGACCCTTCAGACACCCCAAAAAGAGGTTCTCCTTAGATAAAATCTAATGCTGCACCAGCTGGCAGAGAACCAGGGGTGCTCCAAACTCCAGGAGTCCTCAGCATGTGATCCCCCCAGTTCTGCAGAGGGGAGACTGAGGCCCACAGAAGTGGGGTGCCTTGCTTCGATGCCGCAGCCAGGCTCAGGACCTGCAGCCAGAGCCCAGGCCCCTCCCTACCCACTTGCAGCAAGTGAGGAAGAGTCCCCTGGAGACCAGGTCCCCAGGAGCCCGTCTGCTGCTCCAGGCCAGGGCTGTCTGTGTCTTTCTTGTCATTACTGCTCCTGGCTCCTGGCGGATAGGGAGGAGGGGCCCGGGGGAGACCTGCCCAAGCAAGAAATGACCGAGGCACTTGGCTCTGCTTCTGGCAAAGCTGATCCTAGTCCATGCCCCTGGGAAGGTGATCTCACATGTAGGGCCCTGAGTATCTTCATCCACAGAGCCCAGGGTGGGCTCAGAGGAGGGGGCGGTGGGCTGCTGTCCCTAAAGCCTCGCCCCCACCCCAGGTGTAGCCCCACCCACTCTGCAGCCAGAGTGCCTGGGAGTCCCCATCCTCGGCTCCAGGCACAATGATCTTAAGGAACCTGGCCCCTACCACTCTGAGAACACCCTGTTTAAGAGCTGTCCTCTGCCTTCAGAGAAAGCTGTATGTCACAGACGTGACACCTGTGGCCGTGCCAGGCCTTCCCTAAGCCCCAGTACCAGACCATGCCCTGGGGCACGTCCTCACTGTTAAAGACAATCCCTTAAACTGTGGCTTCCTGGAGCCCCAGGGCAAAGCCATACAGAGGAATGAGGACTTGGCAAGAGCGTCCTCGCTGGGGTGGACCCTGCACCAGGTGTGCGTGCTCAGTGGATTGCCAAGGTCCTGAGCCCTGGAGGACAGCGAGGCCCCCAGGCCCAGGCCAGGGTGGCAGGCCCGGTGACACCCACAAGGTCCCCAGGACAGAGAGGCTGCCTCCAGAAGGAAGAAGGGCCACTGGGCCTCCCAGTGCATAGGATAGGACCTCCCCTTCCTAACCCTCCTCTCTGCAACAGAGTGCTACAAGCCCCTGCTCCTTATGGCCCTGGCGCTGGGGATAGAGCAGCCCCGTCCCATTGATGGCAGGCATGGGGCAAATGAGGCTCAGGTGGAAGTGGAGGCTGGCCCAGATCCCTCAGAGAGTCCGTGGTAGAGCTGGGCCTCTAAGCCAGTCCCTTGGTGGCCTATCCTGCTGAGGTGAGGCCCCAGGGTCCTGCTGGCCTTGTCCCCAGAGCCACGGGCAAGCTTGACATGACTCAGCCAATCAGCATGAAGTGGTGGGGATGCTGGCAGTTCGATGTTGGGCCAATATGAATGTTCTCTGGTTCTCATTCAGAACCAGTTTCCTTCTCTTGGCCGTCAGTGAGAATCCTGGCCCCAAAGCCCCACAACTCCCCACCCAAATTCATATGTTCAAGTCCTAACCCCCAGGACCTCAGAATGTGACTCTCCTTGGAGACAGGGTCTTTAAAGAGGTGATTAAGTTAAGATGAGGTCACGCTGGGTGGAGTGGGCCCTAATCCAATATTAGGCTAATATTGTATACAAGGACTGGGGTCTTTACGAAAAGGGGGATTTGGAGACAGACACACACAGGGAGAGTGCCACGTGAAGACAGGCAGAGATGGAGTGCTGAGATCGGCCACACCAGCACTGGGAGACAGGCCCAGGACAGGTTCTCCTGCACAGCCCGAAAGGAGCCAGCCCTGCCCACACCTTGATCTCAGACTTCCAGCCTCCAGACTGTGAGGGCAAAATTCCTGCTGTTCTAAGCCACGCAGTCTGTGGCGCTTTGTTACAGCAGCCCCAGGAGACTGACATGCCTCCCAGCCAGGGTGTCTGCCCTCCCTGTCCAAAGCTGACCCCATACTGTGTCCCTGCTGGACCCCATGCTCTGTTCCTGCTGGACTTCCCATCCCCGCCACCGCTGCCATCGGTGAGCAAATATTCTGTGCAGGGGCAGCAAAGATCAGAGAACGTAGTTCCTGCTCCCACAGAGCAGAGATGAATGTAAACCTAATGGGGCCATCGGGTATGACTTACCAAGACAGTCTATGTGGTGAGCGTGGTGCTGGGCACAGGCTGTCCACCTGTGCTGTCTCGTCCCATCCTCCGAGTGGACCGTGAGCCAGGGCAGGAGGCAGGACCCAGATCCCAGAGCCCTCTGTTACTGGGGAGATGGACGTGTGCACAGGACACTCTGGCCAGCCCCCCAGCACAGGTGACCAGTGACAAGGGCAACGTCCTTGAAGTCCCCAAACCTGTCGGGATTCTGCCCATCCTGGAAAGCAGATTAGCTGTCAGCGTCTCTAATACCTTCACGTAGAAAGGCAAGAAATGGGGACATGGAGTCTGC